GCTTGTTTTAAAGATGTTTTCAACTGTTTTTCTCTCTCACGTTTTCTAAAACCAATTTTCTCCTAAAACGTGAGCGGAGGCTAGACCCACGACCGTGATTGTCCGCAACTTACAGTTTTTCCCGGCTGACTTGCTCGTTTGAGCTAGAGCAAGTGCTGCACAATCGCTCGAGCTGTTTTGAAAAGGTGCGATTGTGACACTTAGCACACAGAAGCTTGAACACTCATGAGAAGCTTCAAGAGAAATGCAGCAATTGGGTGCTCTCCCCTTCTGTTTGTTGTTTATGTATGGCCAACACTGAATCAATAGATCATATCTACATTCACTGTACATTTGCGGCTCGAGGGTGGCAGAAATGTGCTTCGAGAGCTCTCCTTTGGCACCTTTGGTTGGAAAGGAACCTTCGGGTCTTCGAAGATAAGTCTTCTTCTTTTGAGATTTTTTGTAGAAAAGTACAGCACACCGCCTCTTGGTGGTGCATCAACTATAGCAAATTCTTTTGTAACTACGACCTTTCAATGCTTATGTACAATTGGAAAGCGGTTGTTTAGTTCTTTTTGGTGGGGTTTCCTCTACCCAGCCCTTAGGTTGTTCCTTTTGTCTTCCTTTCGGAATATACAAGTTTCTTATCTAAAAAAAACTATTGTTTCTGCATGATAATTATTAAGGAAATAGGAGTTGAAGATTTTCTAAAGCTTTTTCCAATTGGCAGTCTTTTCTTTTTCCCTTATTTATTAAGGAGGGGATCCCATCCAATTGCTTTAATGATATAGTTTTAATTGTGTCTCACTTATGCCTTCCATATGTGATTTGTACATAATTGTAAAAGCTGTGATTTCCTTCCTACGCTAGTTTTTTGGAAGTGGTTTCTAAAACATTAGGAAGTTATTTGTTGGTGGTTTTGCTAATGGTTCCTCTCAGACCTTAAACATGTTGAATTGCAGCTCTGTTTGCATTGAGGTCCAACAAAATATTTGTGGATTTCTTCCAGCAAAATTCGAAATAAAAAGATCTTTGCTTGGGCACTATCTTTTCCGTGAGGGAGCGAGGAAGAAGAAAAAAGACAAAACAAGTTCAACAAAGTAGCAATACAATCAGACTATTTAAGAATGAATACGAAGAAAGCAAAGAACCAACAACGAAAAGACCCACAAGCAGTTGCACCATAGGTCCGTAGCTCAGAACACCAAAATACGGGCCTGGCCAATCAAAGATTATTCCTCAACAAACTCCAATCCCTACTTAGTCAAAGAAAAATCTGAAGAAACAAAATCCACAGTAACCTTTTCGAGCTAAATTAACTGCTTCTTGCAGAATGAAATATGAAACTGATAATTATCAAAACTCTCTTCCAACTTGAAAAAACCATTCGGCAAATATTGAATGAAGAATTAGTCGTTTGCAACTCGACAACTCCTTGAAACCATGATTCAAAAATCGTGAAAATGAATCTGTCAGCGTACAAATGATGAACTGAGCACTATTGTAGAAGGAGAGCTTAGTAAAAGGTAGAAGGACTAAGAACAAATTTAATTACCAAAATACAGATTTCTTGATGAACAAGATCCGAACAGATTGAGAGCCTGAGGAGAGAGAAGAGAGCATTCTTACCTTCTAACCCACCAACTAAAGTTGAGAAGCTGTAGGGAAGAGAGAGAATTAGAGACAAAATGGAGGGGCCCATTGTCATTCTTCGACCACACCAACCCCAACTTTCTAGAAACCACCAATAACACTATCCAAAATTTTTTTAAAGAGGTAAATTCTTTTTAATATACTTCCATATGCAAACCACTTAAAAGGAAAAATTATATGTAAACACGCCCATATGATAAAGGTAAAATGGTCAATTTAGAAAAGTTATCAGCATTAACATTTATCTCTCAAGAAAATTCATCACTTAAAGAACAGTAAAAGATTAACGTACTACATCTTGAACCTCAATCATAGGGATTTGTCATGTATTAAATCAAAAAACATAGATCATGCATGCATACATATATATTATATATATGTATGCATGCATGTATCTATATATATATATATATTATTATTATTATAAAAAACCGAGCTTTTATTGAAAGAAATGAAAAAAATTACAAGGGCATTCACGAACACATATTAAAGTACACATGATAGAAGAAACATGGAATTCTTAGCGATAAATTGTGAAAACATATAACATAAACACACACAACAACCTTTACGTCATCAAAGGTAAATAAATATAAAAATCGATTTAGAACCAATCAAATAGAAATATGAGCATATTACTTTTGGAAGAGATTCATTAGGCCTCTATGGCTCCCTTTGATAGAATCCAAATGCAAGATGCACGGTACCTTGGATAAGTTATCACATTTTTTATCTGCAAGATATTATGAAAAATACATAAAAAAAAAATATAATCTGAGTAACAAAGATAAGTTTAACAATCACTTCACATCTTGCCTTTCAAATTTCCCACTTCACCAGGATGGCAGATGACAACCAAACTCCAGTGGAGACTGTCATCAAGACTTAACGATATTCGAATTAGAAAATAGCATTTAAGAAAGAATAGTCGACTACAGTATGGTGCTTAATGAATCATTTATAACCTGTAATTAATAGGAATGAAGATATAATCCTTTTCAAAAAGGTTTACTTTCTTCGTCCATTTGTGAACACGCTGAAATGCAGCCCTTCCTCCACAAGCACTTGATAAATCCTTGTCTAGATCCACAAGCTTTCGAAAGAAAAAACTGTTGAAGAAGTAGAACCGATTGTTTTTCTCGAGTTGAAATTTATTCTTCAAATATCTACAACCAATTCATGTCTTAATTTTCAGTTTGCCAAAAAGGTAAAAAAAAATAAACCATCTAGATTTCAAACGACATGATGATAGAAACCTAAGAAATAAGTGTCTAATTGAAATAAAATAAGCAAATACACAATCATACTGCTTTAGTTTGTTAGTTATCTTGTGAGAAATTTAGTCAATAGTTCTATAAATAGGGTAGAATCTTTTATACTCATTAGTATTCTTACTATTTAAATAATAAAGAATTCTAGTTGAGTATTCTTGGAGTGGCTCTAAAATGCTAGAGGTTGCATCAATTATTGAAAGTCAGAATAATAGAGCAACTTATAAAGAAGAACATTTATAGTAACTATATGACGCAGAATAAAGAAGGAAAAAATGCAACTCTAGGAGAAATGATGATACTACAAAAACAAACTTCACGTGTAGCTCTAAATATTCATCTATAGTTCTGATGGGTCGAAGGACTGGCAGATTCAAAAGTATTAAATTCCTAAGAAACTGAAGAACTTTTAAAATTGTAGCTCGATCTGGTTATGGTTTGGAGTTTTTTCTCTTTCCTGCTTTGATGGTATACTAAAACTTTTGCACGATGTCAGCCAAAAATATTCTCAATATACAAAAAAAAGTATTTTTGCAACAGTCATATTAATTCATAATAAAAACTTTTTAAGGGGATTACAATGAAAAAACATACACAAAAAGTAGTATATGAGATAAAAACAAGCAAGTACCTAGAGACAACAAAAGCTGAAACTCACTTAATATAAAAGTCAATGATAGTATCATTAATAAATGCCCCTGGCTTAAGAAGCTCAAGGTCTCTCTTATTAATGGTGACAGCATCAGCATCTCCCTTTGGATAGATGACCTCTTCAAAAGGCTCAATAAATCTGAATACTCCAGTTAAATTAGTAAAATACTAGAGTATACACTGGAATATCTCATTAAACTATATGAAATTAGTGATTTTGTTGAAGCAAATGAAAAATATAAAGCCAAAAGAACCAGAACATTATCAATTGAAAAAGGTATTATCAATAAAATTTCCATTTATCCAAGATCTAAGAACAAATAACAACCCCATTCCATAATTTCCCACATTAAATAATATGATAATTCCAAGCCAACAATCTATTAGCCCACCGATTACAGATTACAGAAGGAAGAAAGAATGAAAAGGGGAATGTGGATTTAGATAATTAGTTTGGAAGCATGGTTTACTATTGGAGATAAAGACAAGCAAAAAGCCATTCAAAGTCTATACGAAGGATTTAAAATATGGCTCCTTGGTGGTGAGTGAAATCTCAACCCTAGGGAATGAATCGAACTGGTTATTTGATATTGGAAGGACAACCCTAGATTTCTCCTCCATCCCTTTCCTTCGAACAGTCACCTTGGCCCTGCTGCAGCATGTCAACGGATGGTTTAGCCAAATATGGACTCCATCGAACAGTCACCTTTCTATGGTATTCTAATTTGTTTCTATGGCATTGATGTAGCCGTTTATGGCTTTGGGTAGTTTAAAAACAAAGCTTTAATGATATCAGCTTAGTTGTAGGTTTTAAATCCTTTTACCGTGTGGTAACCATAGGTTATTATTGTTTGTTAAGTTTTGTTAGTTGTAGTCCCTATATAAAGGAGTATTCTTCAATTAATAAAGGCAGATTGAGATTTTCTTACTTTGATCAAGAGAATATTCGTCAAATTGGTATCAGAGCTCCCAAATTTTGCTGGGCACTCGATGGCAGGAAAGAAACCGACGATGGGAGACAACTCTTCCATAACAAGTAAAGAAACGGATCAACCAGCCGTTCTCTCACCACGGACAGTCACCAAACGCTTGCAGTTGGTTGACGGAGAGATCAAGAATCCACAAAGTGATGTGGGTGAGATTAAGCAAATACTGGGGATGATTCATCAGTAATTGGAGACGCTGAATGTGAGCCAGAATTCTGCAAAGAACGACCAACCTTTGCCTCCAAGATTCAGTCAAGATGTTCGGAAGGATGATAGACAAGGTATTCGTATTCAAGAAAAGCCGGTAGCATCACCAAGAAGTTAACCTCAACCCGCTGTTCCAAAGACGCCACGACTTTTACTTGGATTTTTCTAGTGATGAAGAAGATGATTACTTAGAGACGGAGGACAACCAACGGGGTTTTCAACAGCGACAGGTTAGGCACCATGACGCGCCTGATTTTAAGATGAAGATCGACCTCCCATCCTTCAGCGGCAAGATGGAAATTGAGGGATTCTTGGAGTGGGTTCGGAACGTGGAAAATCTTTTTTCTTACATGAACACCCCGGAGGAGAAAAAGGTGCGGCTTGTTGCTTTTAAACTCAAAAGTGGAGCATCAGCGTGGTGGGATCAGTTAGAGGTCAATCGACAACGATATGGTAAGCGCCCTATTCGGACATGGGAACGTATGAAAAAGCTAATGAGGGAACGGTTCCTTCCCATCAATTTTGAGCAGATTTTATATAATCAGTATCAAAATTGTCAACAAAGAACTCGTTCCATAGCTGAATACACGGAGGAGTTCCATCGCCCGGGTGCAAGAACAAATCTTTTGGAAAGCCAGCAGTATTTGGTCGCACGGTTTGTTGGCGGCTTGCGGGCAAATATTAAAGAACAGATTGCATTGCAGCCTCTTGGGTACCTCAATGAAGCTATATCTACTGCCACAACTATTGAAGTACAAATTAACAACCGGAATAAGAAAACATATGCACGGCGAACCACTTGGGATCTAGGGGCTTCTTCAAAAAGAAATGCTATCTCTGAGAACACACCTACCGCGCCACCTATGAGCACGTCGTCCAAAGGAAAACAAATAGCCAACGACACTTCTTCGGCTACCAAAACCACGGACCCTACTGCTGGAAACAAAGTAAGTAATACTTATAACCGCCCAACCTTGGGCAAATGTTTTCGATGTGGGCAGGTGGGACATCTTTCGAATGAATGCCCACAACGAAAAGCTGTTACTTTCATTGAAGAAGAGGACCAACCGGATTATAGTGAGGAAGAAACTCCGGAAGAGGACATTGATTACATAGGTCCTGACGAAGGTGAGACCATCAATTGCGTTGTCCAACGCCTCCTCCTCACTCCAAAAGTCGAACCAGCTTACCAACGACATGCTTATTCGAATCTCATTGCACTATCAATGGTAAAGTTTGTAACTTAATCATTGATAGTGGTAGCACTGAAAGCATTGTGGCTAGTAAACTAGTTTCAGCATTAAATTTGACGTTACATCCCCATCCAACTCCATATAAAGTCTCTTGGATAAAAAAAGGTGGGGAGGCTTAAGTCACACACACATGTTGATGGAGACTCACTCAAGAAGTAAGAGAAAATCTCAATCTGTTTTTATTTATTGAAACAGTACCCTATATATATAGGGGTTACAACTAACAGCAACTAAAGTAACTAACAATAGCTAACAAACAATAGTAACTTGAAGTTACTAAACAGTAAAAGGGTCCTTTAAAAGAACTACAAATATAAGCTAWACTTAAAAGACTAAACAAGTTACCCAAGGCCACACAGCTACATCAATTTTCCCCCACCTAAAAAAAACTCGTCCTCGAGTTTCAATCAGCTAACAAAAACTCATCAGGGGGATAGAAGGGATGAATATCTGCTATATTGAAAACGGGGCTGATGTTGTAATCCA